CACAGACACAGTCAGCTGCTGTTACACCATCAAGCGCTAGTCACATGCTAACAACAGCTAATAAAAAATGAACATTCAGAAACAATGAAGAAATTATATTTACATGGTTGACATATTAGCCTTTTGTAAATTAGCTATAAAATAGTTAAATGCTCTATATGGCCCATTCTTTTGTGAAAACTGTAGGTGATTTGAAAATGAAATAATTGATTCATAGCAGAAAACAAAATGCAAAGGGCTCTTAAAAAAAAAAACCTCAGGAACATTATAGCATGAACTTGAGCTGTAATACACTCACACTGTGTCCACAGTTAACCTCCATTTAGCCTGAAACACTTTAACTGGAAGCCCTTAGGCAGACCCAGATCGCCCCTTGGCCTATGTTATGTAAACAAAGGAAGCTTCTCCAGCCAGCCTCTGGGGAGCAGAGAAGCCTCCCCTCATCAGAGCCCACACAACATGATCGGACTGCTGCTTAGAGTGGACAGCCAGCCGTGGACAGAGGCTCCATGATACACACCAAGATGAAGGTTTTCTCCCCCCTTGAAATACAGTTCAAGTGTTTTCAGAGACGATCTCAAACTGAATGGCCTCATAACCTCAGGTTAAGAAAGAATGGCACTAAACAACAACAACAAAAATCTACTAGCATTTCTCAGGACTCTCATATGCACAGGTGTCACTCTGGGAAGTGGAGCTGGGAGACAGAAGTCCAGGAGCCGCCTTCTCAGGTCACACCTGGGCAGGTGCACAGAACAGACCAGTGAGACCTGAGTCCTGGCAGTGAAGAGCGAGATACACGCCTGCTTGTCCCTCCCTCCAGTCCCTGCCCTCTGTGGCTGCTCAGGAATCCCTTCTTGGCAATGGAAAGCCCAGCAGTGGGCTTCCTGCCAACCCCTTAACGAAGCACCTGCCCAATGCCCTCCCTGCCCCTTCTGCTGTCACCTGCGGGGGACAGGGCACTCTTTGGGCTTCTGAATATACCTATGGCCACCTTAATCCGGGCACCAGAGCACTTCGGGTTTGGGAGACCGGCTGTGGGCAGCTGGTGACGGGGCAAGGGGATGGTTTTTCTACTTAGCTGAACTGCAGATTTCCCAGCGCATGGGAAGGCGCTCTCGGTGCATTGCCTTATAGCCTACGCGAAGCAGCAGCATCTCGTGAGTCACTGGGTCACAGCAAAGAACATGACGAGGGACGTTTGAGAACTTCTCCCAAGCTCCCAGCCATGACTTTCTCCTCGCCCTCTCTTTGCCACCCGTTAACAAGCCTTTCCCACCTCCACCGCTCCTCCCCGCTCCCAAGCTTCTAAACAAAGGAAGAAGGCGGCATGCTTTCAGAAAAGTAGCTAAGCGAATCCAAGGTCCCTCTCCTCCAGACCACCCAGGGCTCAGGGCGTAGGATAGGCAAGTCTTACACACGCCTCCCCACAAAGCGAGAGGGGGAGAAGAATGGATACCTTCAATAGTTCTGTCTTTTCTAAAGAGATTTCTAGATCTCGTGAGGCTGAATTCACTTCTTCAGTTCCTTCCTGTCTTCTCCCTTTTAGTGCTTCTCAACTTTCATGTGCATAGGAACCATCTGGAAATGTTCAAATTCACATTCTGATTCCGCAGGTGGGGCAGAGCCTGAGACTCTGCATTTGTAATAAGCTTGCTGTTGATGCCAATTGAGCCAGTTCACAGACCACAGACCACACTTGGAACAGAGGATCGAAATTCTCTTGACTACACGGCGAAGCCTGTGTACCACCACCTGCGGCGGCCAATGGAAGAATTCCGAACACGGTAAGCACAGTATTCCACCGAACACAAACGCGGCATGAACTGCGCCTTCCTTCCCTCGGCCACCATTCAGACGTAGGGCCCAGACCGCGTCACTCAGATTGCCCATGTGGCCCTCTAGCCTATTATTCCCTGTAGTCCTGGGAAGGAGATGGGTATTACCTGGCCAAAGAAGTTAACATATGAAAGAACAAGGAAAGCAAAACAAAGCAGATGGTGAGGGGTTAACTATCCAAGTCCTCAAAATGTAATTCTACTGGGAACTTAGGCCAAAAAGAGAAAACCATGAAAAGATCAAGGCAGAGGAAACTGGGCCCACCCCGGTCCGTGCTGCGGGGAGGAGGCGGGTGGGGGTCCGGGGGGGGCGGGTGGCCTCTCTGTAACAGCAGCATGGACGGCCTGGGCAGCCTGTGTCAAACCTCTCTCCACCTCCCCCCCAGGAAACAAACACAACTGTTAAAAAAAAAAAAAGGCACAAGGGCCATATGGAACTCTCTATTTTTTCCCTCACACCATCTGGTTTGGGATCTAAGTACAGGATGGCAACTGCGTGGACTGCGGAGCCAGCACGATCTCCGAGCAACCGGGCAAGCGGCCCCGCGGCGGGGTGCGGGCTGCGTTCCCTGTACTCCCCTCCCTCCGCACGGCCTCTCCGGCCGCCTCTGGACCCACACACGGTCCCACGGCGTGTGCAGAGAGGCACATTTTTTCCAATGACTTCGGTCAATGCACACGAAAAGTCAAAACTACCTGTGGGTACAGACCATCTCAGGACCTGGGAAGACGAGGCTATAAATCAACTTCAGTGATTTTTGTCGCCGCCCCGCCCTGCCCTGCCCCCGATGAGAACCTGCATGTTCATGGACATGAAATGCGCCAGCAACCTGACACCAGCAGGATTCTGCAGTTTCTCCTCCTGCCGTTCCCCAAATCCCCAAACGCTGAAAACGAACTTGTGTGTTGGTGGGTTGGGTTTTTTGTCTAGCTCGCCCGGAAGCAAAACCTGTTCTGATCCAAACTCCACCTGGACAGCCAAGAGGCTGTTGACAAGGCTCCTGCCCAGCTGGGGCTCCCAAGAAAGATAAACGCGGTGGGTCAGTGGGAGCACCAGACCGCGCTCGTAGCACCGCATAGCACGTGCTCTAGGTACCGCGTTACTTGTCAAAAACCCAAACTCTTCTGAATTCTGAAACAAATCGGCCCCAAAGGTTTCAGAGAAGAAACTGGAGCCTTGTATTTTTCTTCTTGGCTGCCGCTGCCGTGCAGAATGCCCGTGTTCTGCTGTTTGGTTGTAGGGTCGAAAGCATGTAAGTGTGATTCCAGGCCTCTCCCAGGCAACTGCTCCACAAGGAAAAGAAACTTGGCAAGAGCAATTGATAGAGGGCTTTCCCTCTAATAACATATTGACGTTTACTCTTTACCACACAATCTAGGAAAGACACTTAGTTTTTAACTCGATTTCCAACTGGCCTGATGTTTTCCAAAAAATTCTTAAAAGGAAGACCATTCCCGGTCAAGCAGTGGTGTCTGATGACTTTGTCATGTTAATACCCTCCCCGGCACCCCCACCCCCACTGAATTGTGCATATCTGATGCTGCTTTTATCTGGGGGGTGGGGCTTTAAAAAAACTGCTTTGACATAGTTTACATATAAAAGTCACCCGTTTTAAGTGTACAATTCAATGATTTTGAGTACATTTACAGTGTGTAACCATCGCCTCAATCTAACTTGGAAACATTTCCGTCACTCCAAACAAGATCCCTTGTACCCACAAGCGGGTAGACCCTGCTCCCCACATCCCCCAGCCTCTGGAAAACACTGCTTTCCCTTCCGTCTCTATGGATTTGCCTCTTCTGGCCATGTCACATAAATGGAGCCACACCACATGTGGTTTCTTGTGTCTGTCTTCTCTCAGCATGATGTGTTTGGGATTCATCCATGTTGTAGTATAAATCAGCACTTCATTCCTTCTTATTATTGAACAGCATTCCATTGTATGGATAGAGCATGTCTAATGGCAATTTTTAAAAGATTCCAGAACTCTCTCTGTTCTTTAAAGGACCTATGAGAACAAATGTCTGATATAACGTCTTGCTCACTTTCTCTAACCAGCACTACACAGGCACACACCAAGCTGGTGCCCAATAGCCACGTGCTGCATGAAGCAATGCATAATTCAAGGTATAGAACTAAATCCAAAATCAGTTTTCATGTTAATTAAGCTAAAGGCACAACTTAGCTTTTAAGAGAAAAAAAGTGTTATTAAATTAATTATAGGTGTTATGACTTTGTGATTCAATGGGTGTCTTATGCTGTGCCTCAGAATTGCTCTTTCTAGAGTTGTAGGTTCTACACTCTCATTTCAGATTTATTCCTGAAAAAGTAAGCAACTGTTTGAGAGAAATGACATCACAAGTTCACACAAAAGCATGGCAATACTTTAAGCCTGCGGTTGTGTTTATTGGACAGACCACCATCCCTTTACAGCCACATGTTAAGTAACTTGAAGTACTGATTCTAGCTGACTGAGCTGAGTTTACGACACACGTAGCCTTTGGGAATGTGGAGGGTGGACGTCCTCGTTGCCCAGCATTCTTCCCCTTTGGGGTCCCCAAATGGGCTGATGCACGTTTCACCTAGGCCCAGCACCTAGCAGTTCTGAGAGACCCAGTGGACCTACCTGATGGGACCAAATAACAGTTATCAGTTCTCATGTCATGGGCTTCGAATTCCCACTCTCAAAGGCAATGACTGACGTTTACAACAGCGTGGCACGAGCAGAGGGGCCAGGAAGCCATTTGGGGACACTCCCGGTGCTCCTGGGGCCAAGGGTCCTGAGTGTCCTGGCCCAGTTCTTGGTCCCATGGAGGACATGTGCGACACTCCCTCCCCTCTACTGGTTCAGACACTGCAAATTTCGTGGTTACCCCAAAATCATATCTCATTGTACCCTGCTCCCTTTGAGAAGAAGAGGTGAGGGGAAGGAAGGGGAGGAGGGAGAAGAAAGAGGTGAAAGATGGGGTGGAATGGAGAGGAGGAGAGAAAAAGAAAGATGATTACAAAAATTGTAAAGGGCCAGTTCCACCCATACTCTTGTGAACAAATTAATGCATCAAACAAAACATAAAATATCACCAAACGGAAAGAGCCATTCCAAATAATAGTAAAGATAACAGTTGACTTGCTATTAGAATTCACCCCGTGGCTGTATTTACCTGGACTGCTCAAGGGGCCAGCCCTGTCCCCCAGGGTTGGCACAGGATGGTACTGGTGGTTCTTTGAGCCTGGGTACATCCAGTGGTACCTGCCAATTTCCATTTCAGCTCTGCTGTTCACTGCCAATTTCAGGTGGCAAAGAGTCAGTGTCTCTATCTCCAGCAAAGATTCTATATCAGCATTAGCATTTATTCTTTTACCATATAGTTAAAGGAAATGGGGAGTTTAGACAATAAGCTATCAAAATGCAGCCTTTCAGGACCATCTTATCAACCAGCACCATAAACTGAGAATGTTACAGTCTCCTCCTCCATTTTCAAATTTAAGTTTATAAAAGTCACCAAAATTGTCTTTTCTTTCCTTATTTTCTCCACACCCCTCCCCCCCCAACCCACCCCTTAGAATGCTCACTTGGGGCAGACACTATTTATAGTGATAATCTGGCTTCTCACAGTAATATTTTTCTTGAACCAACCAAGCACCATAATTATTGCAACAGAACAAGCAAAGGTGAATACGGGCTTCCTCTGCACGATGGGACCCGGTTCCAGCCTTGAAAATCTGGCAAATAGCCCTGCGATCTGCACAGTCTTGCAGGAAACTCACACCCTCCCACTGACATCTGCGGCACCCTCTCACCCTCACCTTAAGCTCAGTACTTCAGAGTCTAGAATGTTCTGGATTAAATCCTGTTCCAGTCATCTCCCAGTGTTTGACAGAGAAAGCGCTGCCGGTCTGGGGCTCGAATCACTGCTCACTCACACAGGGTGGCAAGTGGGGCCCTTGGAACTCAGGTCCTCCTCTGAGAATATGACTACACTTCCCACTTCTTAGGGGATTGGAGAGAAAAATATCTACCAATTTGCCCAACACAGAGTACACTGCTGGTAACTAGCAGTTGAACCACCCCTTGAATTATCTTGAAACTACTGAATTTTAAACTAGCTGACTCTAAACCAGCAGTTACCCCTGAATTATCTTGAAAGCCCTAAGAGGTCATAAGGTCACTGTGGCCAGTTTATGCCTGAGGATCCCATAAAACTGAGGAAGGGGGTATGCCCTCTGGGGCAGCACAAATGCTTAAGGATAAAAAAATGATTGGGACACCGCTGTGGGTAACTATTGCTGCTCCATTTGGCATCTCTGACCTCCAAGGACACGAATAAGCAAACCACCCCAGGGGGCACGGATGGCCCCCCACGGCCCCCCACACTCCCAGCTCCACTCTCCACACCCCTGAGAGCTTTTCTTTCCCACTGGGAAGTAGAGACCCACTTTTCTAGGTGGTGTTTTAGAGAAAACTTTTTTGGCTTCAAGGTAAAGTAAAAATGTCTTTTAAAGACATTTAAAAGGGAAAACAGAACTGCTGGGAGAAGATCAGATCCGCACTCTGAAACGGTCTGCTGCTGCTGTTTTGGTGGTGAGGAGAGCCGCAGTCACAGGGCTTCTTCTGCAAAGCACACCGCACCGGTCCCCCCGTAACCTGCGGCCACACAGCCTGTCCCAAGTGCCCTTCAGCACAGGTACTACGATTATACCATCTCTGCAAGCGGACACAGCCAGGGCGATGGGATGGCAGCTGGGGAGGCGCATCCGGGACACACCAGGGCAGTTTGACCCCCAAGGGCACAGTTCCGGAGCCACGTACTGTGGCCTGGGCATTGGCTGCAGCTTTCTGTTCTTTAGCTGAGGCACTGGTCGCCTCAACATGAGTTTTTCTGAGGTCTGTGTGGAGGGGAGCTGTGCTTCTGGCCTCCTGAAGAAATGTCACAGGTCCCAGGCTACTTTGTTATTTCAGGGTTCTTAAAAGTTCTTAACTCTCAGCCTTCCCTGAGTTTAGATTTTTGCTTTTCTGTGCAGGAGATTCTCTCTCACACATGGGCGTGTGCTACATTCTCCAGAAGCAAAGACACCCAGTGGGGCTGGTGGAAAGAACCAGAAGACAGTCAAGTCGCCTGCTGGTCTGATCTGATTTCCTCTTGGTGAAGTGCCCATGAGCCCTCCATATCGACCTCAGGCCAGGGGGATTCCAAGTAGTTTGATCACCTTTAATCTGCAAAACTTTCATCCTCCTTTAAGAAGAGGATGAGGAAAACTTCCCTCTCTCCATGCCCAACACACAGTAGGTGCCCAGGTAAATGTCTGCTGCACACAAACATTTGGTTGAATGCAAGGGAGCGCCCTGGGACCTGGGGACCACAAAATAGACCTCCAGGTCCCCCAGCCCACTCAAGCCAGGCCATGCAAAATTCAGGGAATCTCTGCATGGGATTCGTCCATCCTCTGTCCTCATCTCCTCCCGTAAATGGGGAAGTCGCCAGACCGGCCTCTGCCACAGCAGCCAGGAAGTAGTAATGAGAAGCCACGGGCACCCAGTGCTAACATGCTCTCTGGGAAAACATGGCAGCCGTGCCTGAGATGCTTAGTTCAGCATGAAAATACTAGTGTACTCCGGCGCATGCAGAGACGGGACCGGCCAGTGGAAGCGTGCTCTCCCATCCGCTGGGAAGGCCTTTTGTAAATCTTTAGACATGAAAGAAAAGAAAATCATGTCTATTTTATATTTTTGAGCCAAACCAAAAGGCATTAAATATAAAATTATTTACAACATTTCAAAGAGCACAGTATACATCTTGTTTAAAGGGACAGGGTCCCAACAATTAGAAGGGAGTGACGTGATTCCCAGGAGAAGCCTCCGCTTCAGTGGTTAATTAAAACGCTGGCAATTCTGGGCAACGGTCAAGAAATGGGAACATGTATAACCCCAGGAAGACCCTGGTAGGGTAGCTTGCAAATGTTCCCCTGAGAGAGGAGAAGACAGGGATGGGCAGGAGACCAATCTATACTGTTGAAGCACAAAAGGCTGTGACATCTGAGGTACTATTATTGATGGTTGGTGCTGAGGTAAGCGGTGGCCGCTGAGGGCGAGACACGACTGTGGGTGGTCAGCACCCAAGGTGGGTGTGAAGCAAACAATGGGAAGTTGAGGAAAGGATAACAAAACAATGCCTTGTACACCTTTTCTCATGTCCTTAGTGAATGTGATTTAGTGACAAGTCGGAACCACTGAGTTGCAGACTGGTATACTTTTTAGCATCTAGGAAATGATCACTGGAAAACTGACAAAGACCATGCTTCTAGAAAGCCCATACTCACCGGGCAAGGTCTTTGGAAGCTGTATCTACCATCCTTTACTTTTAGCTATTATTTAAAATATTAAAGGAAAGCTGTAACAACACTATCGAATACAGCAGAGGTCAGCAAACATTGGCCCTGTTTTTGCAAATAAAGTTTTATTGGAGCACAGCCACATCCATCATCTCTATTCTTTCTGTGGTCGTTTGATGCTATAATGGGGTATATTTTAGTAGTAACAACAGAGACTGTGTGGCCCACAGAGCTGAAAATATTCTCTCTCTGGCCCTTTACGGATGAAATGTGCTGATCTTTGATATCGAACATTATGATATGATAGCTAGTAAGGTTTGAATATATAAAGAATTAACCAAATCAGCCTATAAAATAGGAAATGATTTTCTTATGTGCCCTCTGAAGGGAAACACATTGGGCTGGCCAAGCATCAAAATTCTGTCTGGCATCATCATCTGCTAGTTACTCGGCCACCAACCAGCAAAATTATGGTCAAAATCAAGATCATCCTACATGTAATGGTCTCTGAGCTGGGTTCTACTCCTATGTTGTAAGCAGAGCGAACTGAGGAAGGATGCTGTCTCGGAGAAGAACACTACTAAATGAATAAATAGAGGGACAAATGATGAACAGTGAGGTACATTTGTGAAGCTAGGATGGTGACCTCCGTCTCTTAAAAGCCAGGGTGTGTCGCCTCCTTCATCTGTCCCACAGCCATCCCTATTCCTGGCCAACCATATCACTTGGATGGACATTTGGTCCCAAGGAGAAAAAACTGAGAGTGTCTCTGGAACAATCCAATTTATGGCCAGTCCCAGTGAGGGGAACTTTACACCACGGAGACACTGGCTACTCCATGTGTTCTCAGATGCATCAAGGCTAATAAATCGTATTATGAAGATAATTTACTCTAAACTGACCTGCACTTCCCAATAACAGAGAAGCATGATTTTTAACATTACAATCTGAATTCAAGATTTCCACTGAATTTCAAGGCAAGCGAATCTGGGTTTCCAGTCAGGGGTCAAAATGCTTGTGTATGCTAATGGAAATGACGATAACAAAAGTAGGAGATGCACCAAATGGCTGGTTGAGATCTTCTCCACACTTAACATTTCTTGGAAAAAGAAATTAAAGCAAGCTGTAACATACCTACCACATATGTCCAGCACCATCTGGCCAGCCACTCTTTTCTCTACAGCCTATTCCCCAGACACCCTCTCTTCAAATGTCCTCCTTGGCAGATTCTTATAGGAAAAAAACTGCATCTTAAACTCTCTCTGTACCATATTCATATAATCAAGTTAGAAAATGACAAAAAATATCTCAAAATCAAATAATTTATGGATCACCAGGAATAGGGTGACATGTTAAATACATCCCTCTGGCTTTTAGCATACAGGTCAGATATTCCAGAAGAGTGTTTTTCTTCCTAAACGAAAAAAGAGAGGGCCAGAAGTGCATGGATTTGCTGAATTAAAAAAAACATATATAAGAAATTTCATCATTTGATTGAAAAGTTAAATGGATATACTAATTTTTTAAACAAGCCAACAATTTGAATTCATTTCTTACTTTGCCTATGTCCTTAATTTATGTCAAAATTGCACATTATTTCAATTTACATTTTTCTTCCTATGTGGTTAGAAACTTAATTTGGTGGCTGATATTCTTGAATTCATTTCAGTGATGATTCACAGGGGCTTAACTAGCCTGACGGCAATTGTTCCAGTAGATTCCAATTTCCTATGTATAATAAAAATAATTTTCATCCCAGATACTTAAGATTTTATTTCACACACTAGAGCAACTAATTCCATGGTTTTTTACCCCTTGATTACACATGTCCAGCAATTCCAGATGCACTGGTTTTCACAAATGAATTGACATCAAGTAATACTCCACAGAAACAAATAGGAGCCGAACTCTCCTTGTCTTTATTACTGAGTCCCGTGATTTATTTCTTTTGATTCTGTCTTATTCATTTCCTCCACTTATTCCATTTCAGCAAATCTGCTTACTCAATCCTCACACTCTGATTTAATTTAATGCTTCCAATTTAAAAACTGCCATTTGTAATAATCTGGCATTTCTTACATCCATCTAAGGAAACTGGCTTGCTGTTCTTAAAAATTCCTGAATATCCACTAAATACTTCTTGTGAATTTTGATCATCTACTAGTGTTCTGTGACAAAAGCTATGAGACTGTTTGTTTCAAAAACATGTATGCTTTTTTTTTCTTTTTTTGAGGACTTGGATTATTTTTGTTTAAAATAGGAACAAAGTCATTCTGATTTAAAGAAACAGCTCTCTTTGTCTTACCGAAACTCCCGGAATGTGACACCAACTAGAAAACTTGAGGTCAGTTTATAAAGCTAAATTTAACTTATATTCTTAATAAACACTGTAATAGTTATCCAAAGCTATTAATTCACAAGCTACTGGATACTAGCCATTGGGCAATAATATCCCAAGTTAAGAGACGGGTATCCCTTCTATCACTAACTCTGGAAACCAAATGGGAAAGGAGGGACAGAGGTGAACAAATATATGTGCATAAAACACTCTGTGGGAAGTGACAAAATGTAAATTTAGTAAATTTAATCCCTTGCTGAAAGGCTTAAAAGAAAGAAAAAACCACCCACCCACTCAAGAATTACATAAGGCATTCCCTAATTATGTCAAGGTTTTAACAGCTAATTTCCATAAAGTAAACATTGATGTTATAAATTTAAAATTCAATCTGATGGAATGCACAGACATTTGTGATCATCATTTTATGCCCGTGTGTGTGTGTGTGTGTGTGTGTGTGTGTGTGTGTGTGTGTGCCTTGAATGACAATGTGTGAGCAAGCTGGGGAAGCCACAAAGACGATACTTGTGTGAGTTCTTACTGTGCAGCTGCCGTGTGAACTTGTTCGTCTAAATGGAGATTAGTAGGTAAGCTGCCCTCCAAGCCAACATTCATGGTGGCTCACATTGCGATAATGACCCCTGTTGCTGCAGTAAAAATACACTCCCTGGTCCGCATCCTTACTCAAGCATGTACCATACATGCAACACTGTCTTGTGTTAACTTGCTATTTTGGAATTAAACAGCTAGGGTTTATCAATTTTGGTCATTTTTAAAGTTTCTCCAGGAATTATCTTTTGCTTCTGATTTTGTCTCTAAAACCATAGCTAACAAGTTTTCATGTATAGATGGACGATGGATGTAGTGGCAGCCTGTAGATTTGGCATTAAATAAGATTTAATTGACATAAAATACTAACAGTCCATTAGACTAAACACTGATGAGATTCAGTTGTGTAGTAAGGCTTTACATTGGTTCTATACCCCTCACTTGCTTTTCGAGAGAAAAAAGGAAGGTATAGTTTTTGCCGAGACCAAAATGGTTTTATCTGCCCCTGGCAAACACCATATTAATAAAAAGTATGTACTAAACAAAGTCATCTATTTTAGGAAAAAATCGCTCTAAATGGTGACAGGCTTCCTCACAACAATGTGATGACATCATTATATTCCGCAAACTTGCACTCTAATCATCCTGGCAATGAATTTTAAACTTTTATCTCAATTCCTCAGCTTCACATATTCTCAAGAGCTTCTCTCTTATTGCTACTATCTGGTCGTTCATGTAAATTGAAATATACACATACAAGAAAAGGCAGAGTTTTGGGGTTTTTGTTTGATTTTTTGGTTTGGGGCCAGGTAGGTTTGATGCAGGGCTTGAACTAAGCTACCACTTTAAAAATTAAAATGTTACGTACTTAATGCCACTGAATTATACACTTAAAAATGGTTAACATGGCCAATTTTATGTTATACGTGTTTTATTGCACTTTTAAAAAAGTAGTTCATTTGAAAAGCAAAATCGCTCTGTTTAGGGTACACTGTTATTACTGTATTGTGTTTCAAAGAAACTCCATATAAAGACAAGCAGCCTCTACCCAGGCGTGCTGTTAGACTGAAATACGTGAAATTGCCGTTTTTGTAGGTGTAAAATGATTGACTATCAGCGATCTCAGATAGTTCAACCTATATTCATAAGTAAAACATAGCTGTACCTCCACCCTTGAGAATTACTATTGTTTCGTGACTGTCGGTGGCAGCAAGGGCTGTGAGAAATAACTTAGCATGGTGGTGGCTTTTGATGTTAGAGCCACTGCGGGTATAAAATAATGTTCTTGAGCCTTTATGATAGTCTGTAACTTTGAGAGAGGGAGATAAATTACAATGCGGTGAGATGCCGTTAGCCTAAGGGTGGCTGAGCTCAGGCAAGGGGGTACCGAACTTGAAATCAGTCATTGTCTAGGAAAAGCCTGATTAATTTTAGCTTCTATCTTCTGCCATTTTCTCCCCACAAAATACTCCCTTCTCTAAAAAAGCCATTCAGTGTGCCAAAATCATGATATGCTCCAAGGTTCCCCTTAAGGAACAGGACCTCTATCAATTTTCCTTCCCCAGATCTCCAAGTCATAATAGCAGGAGATACCCTACCCCCCTTCTATTAGTACTAGGCGACACCTTGACACCCTTTCTCTCAAGCTCCAACTGTCAATGGTTATTACATGTCATAGTCAGGGCCCGACACATGGAAATAGCAAGCATATTCAACAAGGAAATTAGATGATATCCGAACCCACTACCGCATCAGCAAACCAAAGCATCTTTAATATGCGTGTCCCTCTAAGTTCCTCCTCGGCAACAGCAGAAAGCAATGCATTCCACGCCCCAGGAACATAACATGCAGAACCTGGGACCTATGTTATGACCTATTACACTAATCAAAAAAAAAAAAAAAAAAAGACAGTTTCGTCCCTCCAGCTACCCAAGGTGACAAACTGCGGATACCCTTCCATGAAATACCAGCTTTGCTGGGCAGCTTTGGAACAGGAATGGGCTGAAGAAAGGCTGTTCTATTAATTTTAACATCAGCCTTTGGGACAAAACCACCCTGAAAGCAAGACCATGCCATCAGAGTGAATCCACAAGAGACACAAAGCAGGCCCCCCCGCCCCCTCGTGAGCACCCCCCGTGAAAAGCCTGGAACCGGCTATTGTCAGAGGGCCGGGTACCTTTTCTCTCTTGGCTTTGTTCAGTATTTTCCTCGGCTGCAGTTTCCATGGCTGGCTTCATACCATCCACCAAAAATGCTTTTTCCCACTCCCCCCGACACACACTTCTCTCCCCTCCTCTTCCTTTTCTCTTGGACTCCCCTCTGTCTCTTATTTACACCGCGTGATTGAGAGGCTCTGTTCTTCACTGCAGTGGATCACAGTCTCTTCCAAGATGTAAAAGTCTCGTCAGCGGCAATTTCCCTCTGCCTACTGGTCTATAAAGACAGCTGCCAAGGAGCAGGCAGCCATACGTCACCGAGGATCCCAGTTAGGAAACAGCCCCTCTGTGCCCAAGTGCGCCCCAGTCTTGATGTGCGGCTGGGAGCCGCCCGCACCGCTCAGCCTCCCTCTGATCCCCTGCACTCCGCTCCAGCTCTCTCCTGCCTACTGCACCCAGTGAATGCTAATTAATTCTCCCAGGAAAGAAGAGATCTGTGACATCAGAGGAGGGGATGTGGAAGAGAAAGGAAACGGCCCCCTCCTACCACGTGACTTGGCTGGTTGGCCACATGTATGTTCCCAGGGCATGCCTGTCTGGCATAAGCAACCACTTTCTTTCCCGTGGGACCCCCATATGGGGCATCACAGTTTGACTGATTTCATTTACCACCAACCCTGGCAGAATAAAGCCAGAGAACTGGCCCACGGTCTCTACTTTATTTGCTTTCTTTAATATTTGTCTCTCACACAATCTCTAGATAGATAGATAGATAGATTTTAAACTATATCATCTATTAAAGAGAGGAGAAAAAATACCTATGAGAGAAGAAACCCAAAACATGGACTTAACAATAGCAATGTAACAATTTGGTAGTAGATTTAGAATTCATTCCCTGTCTGTAACTAACATAGTTGATAATAAAAGAAATTTTAGCTCAAGCCCAATTCATAAAGAGGTACCCTTAGGTAAAAATAAGCCTAATATATGCTACAAGAATATCCAGCTAACATTTTGGTGGCTTCTTGGGATGAAAATAAAAAATCGAGTGGTTTCTCCTATTGGCCGTGGTTATTTCTACCTGGAACTTTATTAGAACCCTCCCTCAAAGTCAAAAGGGTGTTCTTGAGAGCATTCTAAATGTTTGGCCTAAAGGCTATCATACTGATGATTCTGATTGCTGGATTCACAAGCTTCCTTGCACACTCAGATACTATGGGACAGACGTTCTCCATCCATCCAAGCTTGTAAGTCTTTATCATTGTCTATGAGCCATGTTTCCAAGCATCACGCACCATGTTTTAAGCATTTGGTTGACCCCACTTACCTTCATTTTCCCTATTAAAAAATCTGTAGAAATTCAAGCCAAATATGGGATGAGTATTGATAAACACAGGGTGAAGGGTTCCCTGACCAAGAACAGAGTCTGCTAGTTTCTTAGGTAGAGCACCTATCTTAGAACCAGACAAAAAGACAAGCCAGGGACCACTCTCTCCTAAAATATCTCTCCCAGTTTTGAGGATTTATTGCTTAACACTAAAAAAAAAACAAAAATAAAAAACAATGTGCAATATCCTGTATCAAAATCCTCTAACAACGTGATCTTTTAATACATTAGTTTTAGATAATCCCCAAAGCCTTCTACATTTAATACCTCTGGCCCTGTTAAACCAGAAAAGATGTTTGAAAACCAGTTTAGCTTGTTTCAACATTTTCCTTTAATTTGACATCTCGTTTTTCACTTCAACTATCGTGGAGAAGAGCACGCCCATCATCAACCATTCCCTTTAATTATGGACCCAGTCAAGTTTCTTGTCTCATGGTGAGGGGATTGAGAAGCATGGCAGCCTGAAATTTCAGGTTTTCGAAAAGAGATCCATTTGTGGTGTAACTGTCTCCGTGGGAAACCTGCTGATGTGTCCAAACAGGATGGTCTTAAACATTTTTGCAAAGTCTACTGAGGTGCACTCAGACAAAAAGATGGCAACTGTTGCTTTTCACAGGTCACTTTCCCTTGGCAGCTCAAATCCAAAACACAATTCAATTCGGCACAAAAGGGGACCATTGCGATTAGCTATGTTATTGGTTTTTATTTAAAAAGTATCTAGCGAAATCATTCAATGGCAGAACGGGCAGAACAGAATAATCTTTTTGGCTAGTCCTTGAATGATTTTTAAATGTTGGCTAAAGTGGGAAGGTAGAATACGGAAGACATTTAAAATTTAAGGACAACTCTGGTTCTCTATCATAGTCAGGGAAATGAAAAACATTGGACAAACTACTCACAAATTCTTTGCTTAATATCTTGCTCTACTTTGACCTGGAAAACTACATGCAACTGAACAATTCATCATTTCTGCTTTATTCACAACTTCATTTTCTTTTCATTAGGCTAATATATGACAATTCTAAAAGTTCCCATGTTAACTTTATAAACATCCTCAAACCTCCCTGATGTTTATGATAAACCACTTAAGTCTGAAAAAGGATAAAAAAGTTAGTAGCAAGAAAGAAGAGTATATACATTTATAACGTCTCTGAGGTATGTATCCATTTGTGGCCAGAAAAAGTGGGCATGTAGAAGGAGGAGGATGGGAAATGTCTCGCAGAGCTGAAAAGCTTTCCTCTGAGGCCCCTGTGTTAAGGCAGTCTGACTGAAGAATACTTCTGAAAGCCACAACAGGAAGAACAAATGTTGACACAAAATGCATGTATGAGATGGTACCACACAGAATTGCTCATACTAAGAAGAATAGTAGTTAAAGGACAGGAGTCAACAGCTAGGTAAAGAGGCACGTAGGACAAGACATGGGGAAAGGGTGCAGAACTTCCATGCCCTCTCCCAGTCTGTGACTCTCCCCAGTTCTCCACTTGCTCACCAACCAGGAAGCTCTCCGAACCCTGTCCTTTTGGGCTTTTATGGAGGCTTCTTACATAGGCATGACTGATTAAACCATCATCCATGGTGATTGAACTCAATCTCTAGCCCCTTCTTCCTCCCCAGAGGTCAGTAGGTGGGACTGAGTTCCAACCCTCTAATCACATGGTTGGCTGTGTTGACACCCAGCCCTGTCCTTAGATTCCAAAAGTCACCTCATTAACATAACAAAAGACACCTTGAAGGCCCTCCATTACGGGGAAACTCCAAGGGTTTGAGGAACTCTGTGCCAGAACTGAAGGCCAAATACATATAACCACAATCCCACAGTCTCTAAGTACAGTAAGGTTGCACTGTGTGTCTCATATGCCTGTGATCCAATAGTTGATGGAAGCGCTGAACACAGCAAGACCAAGGTGCGAATCCTCTGTAACCACTGTGGACATCATCCTGGTCAGTTGACTGGTTCACTCATTCATTCATTTATTCATTCAGTCAATAAAGTTCATTGAGCACCTACTGCATGCCAAAAATGGAGTCACTATTCTATGTTCTGACTCTGATGGTGCAGTCAACTGAGGGAGCCCTGAGGACGGGATGACTGCACAGGAAGGCACAATGACCCACCTCCACATCCTTAGCACCGTCACATGGCTAGCAATAAACACCGTCAAATGCCTACTCCTCCCACTTTTCTGGAATTATATTACAGGTTTCTTCTTTCCTCAGGATGATTCTTCAATGGGGAGTCAATCACCAAGAAGGGATACCTCCATATTCCTTCAAACTACTAATTCTGCTGAAATTTTCCCATGTCATGGAACATTTTTTTCCCTAAAGTCCAGCCTCCCACAAGGAGCTAAGACTGCATTTGTGAAGGGCATCTTGGTGATGCCCTCTGACAGTGACAGGCAACTCACAGCCGGTGGGTTTCCCTGAGACCTGTTCTTTCCAATTCATTCCTAAAGTTTCTGGGGCCTAGGAGACACTCATATGCCTTGGCTTAATCCTTCCTTCTTCTTTGCCCCTCCAAGGAAATCAATCCCGAGAGCAACCACCCCAGAAGCAAAGACAACCCCGCTTGACATTCTACTGTGCCTGCATGGAAGGATCTTAAATAAATTGTGTTGTAAAAGAAATTTTTGTTAAGTGACTCTTATTTTCACATTTACAACCTCCATGCTATGAATCAAAGTTGTGTTCTAATTGCAAATATCTGAACCTTTGGAGAGAACAGAATTACAAATACAGAAAGAATTCTTCAATCTTACATTTTAAGCAGAAAAGACACTCCTCAATATAAAGTAGCAATAGTACTCAAAATAATAATACTTCTGTGCTCTGTTCAAAATGTTGCATCAATTTGAAAACACAGGAACTAGAAATATAGAATGGAGCCAGAAATTTAGAATATGATTGTCTAGAAGTGGGTCCTTTCCATAATTAGACCTTCCCGAAGCTCTGTCAATGTGGCAAAGCTTTTGTCTCCCATTACCAGCATGAAATTTGTAATTGCACATCCAGTGTGGGTTTTTAATGCCTTCTGATCCCTTACTCTCATTCTTTTGCTGATGTATTTCCTCAGCCCCTCTTCTGTATCTCTTATACTTTCCTTCATAGGAAATGATGCCACATAAAGATAAGAGCAGAAATGACAAATCAAGCTGGATGATGTATATGTAAACTGTCATACAGCAAGTATAAGCCATCACCGTTAATGTTTCCTGTTAGTGGCAGAGGTGGTTCACAGGCAGGCCACTGCCATAAAGCTGGCTCATGCCGACCACAAAAAGCACACGGGAGCCTGTTAGTCAAATCTCTTCCCAACCTAATCTGTTGTTTACTTAGTGACAGGCAGAGTCCTCAGTACGAGCTGAAAGAGCCACCAACAGTCATTGCTGAGTTTGGCAAAAGCTACCTGAGGGGTGATGAACCTCTCCCTCCTGTCAAAAATTCCACTGTACCTCATTTTCTAAAGGAGACGAATACGTTTGGCAGGAGCAGGCTGATGTGTCACATGGCAAAAACAGGTGTGGCATGAAAAGTCTCAATATACCAGGCTGGCAAATGGGCACCTGGGCTGGGGAATACTGGGGCGTGAGGCAGTGTGTACATCTCCCTCACTGGCGTGGACCACATGTTTGTCCCAATGTCAAGGTCAGCAGTGCTGCTTCTGCCCTCTCTCTTAAATCAGGGCTCAGCCTCAGCTAGTGACATCTGGGGCCGGCTATTCCCTGGTGGGGTCTGTCATGTGCACTGCAAGATGTTCTGCAGAGCCCCTGGTCTCTACCCACTGGATGCCAGTGGCTCTACCTGAAACAGAAATGTTTCCAGACACTGCCAAGTATTTCCCAGAGGGAAGTTACCCCCAGGTGGGAATCCACTGCCTTAAATCAATCTTTTCTTCTCTAAGTTTCCCCTGGCTATTGGGAGGTTCTGCTGGCCAGTGGCTACACACCGGAGTCATCTGGGAAGCTCTGAGAATACCAAGGCCCAGTTGAGGTTCTGATCTGATAGTCAGAGGTATGTGGTGGGCATGGGAACTTTACAATCTCTCCAGGTAATTCCAGAATGCAGCCAA